TGATATTGTAAAAAAAAAAATATTTGCTGACGTCCCTGTGGTTTATCTTCCTCTTACCTGGTGTCTGTTTCTCCAGCTCTTAATCCCCACAGCCCAAACATCTTTCTTGTATATACTGTTTAGTTCTGTTTTGTATGTCATATTCCATTATGATGGTATACAATACCGACAAGTTTATGAATAAGACACGTGCAACATCTGAGTATCTTTAATTCTATAAAAAACGTTTCGCCAATCAGTAGCTTAATCAATCTAATACAGAGAAAATATAGTGGAAACAGTGGAAAGGTAATTTTGAGGTATTTAGTCCCTCAGCCTTGATAGGAATTCATTCCCATAGACTTGATAAAATCTGTTTTATCAGAGCTAAGAGGTTGAATGCGTTGAAGAAGTCTTTGTACCAAGATCCCATGATGTTGCAATGTCTGACAGATATGATGAATGGTTTTGAAAACCGACAAATTGAAGAATTGAGACACATGCAACATACGGGAATCTTCATTGAAGAAACGTTTCGCCACACAGTGGCTTTATCAGTCCAATACAAACTAGAAATGGGTAAGGAGAGGAGGAGTTTGAGGTAATCAGTCCCTCAGCCTGGAATCGACGTGTTCAGCCCATCACTCTTGTAAGAAGTAGAGCGTAGGTATTATTATTATTCAAGATTAGCCGGTATTCTCCCGGCCCGGGCTTTTTCCAAGTGGTGGCCCGGCCTTGGCTCCCTCTTTAGGGAGTGTCTGAGACCTAAGTCTCCCATGGGAGGAGGCACAAGTACCTCCTCATCTTTGGGACCAACTGTCCCCAGGCCTAGCCACAAGCTAGGCCTCTCTGGTCTGCCATCCCCGCCCCAAGGGGCAAATGGGAATGACAGTCTTATGAGCTAAAGGCTCGGGCTCAGGCACTTACCCTACCCTAGAAGGGTTAGGCATGGTGTCGATCCTACAGCGTAGGGCCAGAGAGGTGGTTTATATACTGCAGTCAGGCGAGTCGAGGCAGGAGGAGGCGGGATCACAGAGGGACCTGCCACTAGTGTAAGTAGGTCTTCGTCCAAAGGTTGGACAAGCTTTGGACGAAGTCCTTTTTACACTAGACTGAATGCCATGTAGGAACACTTCAAACTTTCCTCTCCACTTTCGCTGTCTTTAGTATATTTTCTCTGCATTGGATTAAAAAAGACACGGGCTGGTGAAACATCTTCATAAAAAAAAAAAAGATATCCAGAGGTCGCACATGTCTTATTCATCATGTTCTTATCTTCAGTTGTTGATAGTTTTGAGTTAGGTCCTCATATGGTTCCCGGTAATAGTGTCACCCCAAGAATGTATTTTTTGGCATTTTATTTCTAAAGTTCTGAACGAAGTCTCGCACGAGTGAATCTGTCCATTCACTCCAATGAATTCAAGAAAAGACGGTGAAGAAGAAACTTATTGGGACAATGTTTCGCGCTGCAGTGTCTTTTTCTTTAATATTGTCGGCCAGTGCGCCATTGGGAGCCATTCATTTCGTTCTTGTATAAGTTTTGTAATTATCACTTTCATTTTTTTTGTCATTAAATCCGTATTCATGTTATTTGGTATTGTTTTCATCTACGGGCAGTACTTGCCACTTGGTTATGAATCCTACACGTTATCAGTCTCATTAGGCAGACAATGGCAAAAGCTGACAAGTGAGAATAAAGACACTAGTAATAAGGGATCCTGTGAATACGAGCTAAACGTTGATAAATTAGACACATGTGCAACTCTTGGGTATCTTTATTGAGGAAACGTTTCGCCACACAGTGGCTTCATCAGTCCATACAAAGGAGAATCTTGAAGAACAGGAGGAGAATGAGGTAATCAGTCCCTCAACCTTGAGTCGATGTGGTCAGTCCATCAATCTTGAATAGAATACGGCATACGTGCTGAGAAGGAGCTTATAAACCGTTGGCAGGAGAGGTGCAGCAGTCATAGGTCGTGTAACATTTGTTCAATGTTGAAGTAGGTCGTGCCCAAGAATTAGGCAAGCGAAGAATTCCTATTCTTGGGCACGACCTACTTCAACATTGAACAAATGTTACACGACCTATGACTGCTGCACCTCTCCTGCCAACGGTTTATAAGCTCCTTCTCAGCACGTATGCCGTATTCTATTCAAGATTGATGGACTGACCACATCGACTCAAGGTTGAGGGACTGATTACCTCATTCTCCTCCTGTTCTTCAAGATTCTCCTTTGTATGGACTGATGAAGCCACTGTGTGGCGAAACGTTTCCTCAATAAAGATACCCAAGAGTTGCACATGTGTCTAATTTATCAACATGTCGGTTCTCTGAACCATTCATCTACAGAGCTAAACGTTGTATTAAAATGATACTCTTTACCAATGTCTGTTCCCAAATATTGAAATTGGTGGTACTACTGCTTCAACCAGATTGGTATGCCTCAACTGGTGTTCAGAACTCTGTCTGGTATATCCCTCATCAGGTGCTTCGAAACTTGGTCCTGAATCCTCAAATAGCAAAGCAAATCTATTACCCTTCCGGCCTAACTAAACCCAACCAACCTTTTAACCTAATCTTGCAACTTATATTGTACGAGGGGGGGGAGTCCTGAGGAGATCCATCGTCCAAATTTTCCTTCATGGAAGTTAAAATTTTATAATTTAAGTGAATTTAACACCCCGAAAATTAAAAGACTGTAGGTAGTATTAAACACTGACTCATTCAGATGTAAATCCCACAGGCAAGAAAAATATCGGCATGAACTGGTACACTTTTTGGTTTCCCCTAGAATAACAGGTGTTCGGTGGGTGATTCAGTGTTATTGGGAATTACCATTGAATGCAGGAAACATGACTTCTTGGAAATACAAGTGATAACCTGCACCATGCTGGTACATCAAGTGAAACTACAAGTGGAAGGATTGAAGTAGCCACCACGTTTATTATTTTATTTACATATTAAGATAAGTGATTTTTTTTACTCCTAAACAGTAGTAAATAAAGTAACAAATTCGTTTATAAGACGATTATATTTAATGTGTGGTGATTTTTTTTAACGACCTAGCATCCATGGAAATGCCACTTTACTAAAACACCAATAACTAAAATGGGTGGCATTGTTAAACGGGTCTGCTAAGAGATGCATTAATAATATATTCAGAAATTTTGGTACGTATAAGTGCATCGATCTCTGAAAATCTTAGTCCAGAGATAGCTTATGTTTTTTTTCCTGCTGGCTGTATAATCGCGCTTTAATTTCCCAGTCTGTTGCGTTGAAATTTTCGTTTTCTTATATGATTCCCAGCAATATATTTTCAAGTTTCCTTCACTGAGATAAATAATTTGTTTATTTTACGTACTCCTATTAAACGTATATTTAATCACATTTAATCAAATTAAAAACATCCACAGTAACGCTAAAAGTCAGCTCTTGTAGTATTAAGATAAGTTTGATAATTAATTAGATATTGAATTTAATAGGTATATGACGAGTAGCCTGTTCATTTTAGTACAGATCAATCAGAATAGAGGTTATACTTATATTAAGACATTTTCATTGTGAATAATTTTTCTCCCCTTCATAGTATTTAAACATAACCTGTAACTAAGTACGTTAAGATTGTCATTTATTTGAAAAAATTATCGTAAACTTTGTATATTTGCTAGAAAATTTAACGGTTAAAGTAAATATGGCAATTTGACTGGCTTTAAAAAAGTTCAGCTAGTTTTTAAGAAAAAGCTTGAATTTTAGTATGACGATTTATTGTCGATTATGAACGTGTCATGGCGATTAGCTTAATTAGGTTAAATAATAACTGTAAGCTGATAAAGCCCTAGTGGTTGAAACGCCGTATAAATAAAAGATTCTTTGTTATACGTGTGTTTCAGATTAATTATATAAATTATAGATTCGCAGACGCACTCAGATCTGTGAGAGCAACAGTATGAGCATTATTCACTACACAAAGTTTAAAGGTGCATCACTCATTTACTGCTATTCTGGGCTTTAGAGATGGTACAAAGAAGAAAAACTTTTAACTGTACACCTTATCCAGTTTCCCCACACCCCGTCTCCCCCGTCTAATCAGCGAAAACAACAGGCGCTGTCGCATTTCAAATAAGCTTGCAGCCTAAGTAAAATTAAAGATAGGGGTATACTTTCTCAAATCACCATTAAGGGTTTGATAGCGTAGTGTACACCAATTTCGCAAAAGCCTTTGACAGGTGCGACCATGGGGCAGTTCACGAAATGCTCGCAGAAGGAATAACGGGAGAGGTGGGTTGATGGATATTTAGCTTCCTCATCAGTAGTACCCAAAGAGCAATGGAAAACAGTAAAATCAGGGGCTGCTGCATTGAAGAACTTTGTCCCCAAGGCATTCTCGTATCTGACATAGGCAGGAATGTAAACCATAGCAATATCTGGCTGTGGCATAAATACTGTATACTTTGATCCAGAGTGCGCAGGTTCGAGTCCTGTTCTGGACTGAGAGAGACAGGTGCCAGCACTGACGAGGCTGTCGTATCTGTAAGCTTATTCAATAACACAGTATCCGAAGCATATACTTAATATAACTTAATTCATTTTACAGCCGATTAGCCAGTGGTCCTCAAGCAATGTGGTGGACTGGATGGCGACACTCAACTTAGCGCCATACACAGAATTGTTCAAAGCAAAGGACATCAAAGGAATAGACCTCCTCACATTGGACAGAGATAAACTTGGGGTAAGTACTGTATTTTAAAGTTGTTAAAAATAAAGTTACTCGACCATAGGAGTAATTTAATTGTTGTCTCAGCCAGTAATAGTTAATCCCTGAACTTAGTTTTACTTCGAAATTCACACATCAAATTATTTCACGAATAATACCAATAAACAAGGTTTAGGTTTCAATAGTGACTGGCAGTTTGAGGAGGAAGAGGGAGGGAGGGGGAGTGAGTGGCCGGGGTAAGGTAGAGGTCAGTATGGCGCTGACATGTGAAGAGTGAAGGGGGGACGGACATGACTGGTTCTATTCCGTCAGATAACTTAGCCCATACTCCTGGAGTTTACCTGGAGAGAGTTCCGGGGGTCAACGCCCCCAGTGTGATAAACTGTCTAGTCATGTTTTGTTTTTGTATTTAAGCTCGTTTAGTGTTTTCCTTAATTGTTTTAATTTATAGTTTGAACCTAATGTAATATGAATTTCATATTTATACATTTCGTTTACCATTTAGTTAGTGCATGTGGATTTGTATGGTTCTTGGTTTTGTTGACTGAAGGTTCTGTTCTCGGTCTCTCTCGTGAGAAACTGGTCTTCATATTCGCTCTTCATGAAGCTCGTTTAGTGTTGTTAACTCATAATTGTTTTTATTTATAGTTGTTGACTATGCTATAACACTTATTTCTGTTTTCTGATTTAATATTGTGCATTAAGTGCATGTGGGTTTTGTATTTTGACTTGGATCAAATTGTTTTATTGTTTTGTATATTTTTATTGTATATGCGGTTTTATTATTGGCCTAGTTTACATTTACTGTTAGTAGCTATGGGTCCCTTGTTGATATCACCTTTCAAGTCTCCCATTGCTATGTTGTCTAAACTCAGAGAATGGCCCTCCCGTAAATGTCAACGTGAGGAGGGTTTGGAACCAGCCGAGGTGAGCACTACTTCAGTGACACCTCAACTACTGGATTATCCCTACCTTCAACCCCCTGGTAATCTGATAGATTATTCAGATTTGTACTCTACTCCAAAACATTCATGCTCCTCTGCATTGACAACTCCTGATAGTGGCATATATGTTGAAAACACGCCTTGGAAACCTTGTGCATATTTTGATCAGAGAAAACGAATAAGAGTTAGCAGTCCCATTCCTATTACCAGTGGTACTCCAACCCCATATCAATGCCAAAGGCTGCAGGCATTATGTACCACATCGCATTTGCAGAAATCGAAGAATAAAGCTTTTTGTGATGAGAAGCTAAAGCTTAAAGAAAGCTACGCCCTTCAAAATCCTAACACAAGCCTAGGATGTCCTAATCACACTCAGTATCAGCCCCATTATGGAGACAATACTCGACGTGCATCTACAACTTCATCTACATCAAGCATAGCAAGTTCCACAGATACCATCACCACTTACATAACTAGTGACTTTTCGTCAAGTGCTCTCTCAGAGGGTGATTCTTGGTGTCTTAAATTGTCTGATCTGGATTCTCCAGAATGTCTTTCTCCTTCCCTCATTGGTGGTTGGCCCAGGATAATACCTGACAGTGTTAAAATACAAATTAAACTTCCCACTCACATTTCCAATCAATGCCAGTTGATAGAAAACCTTTCTAGGGACATAATTGCTCCAAATTGTAGCAATGATTATTCATATATGGAGCAAGTTAAATCTTGCTCTAGTGTGTTCAGTGATTCTCCTGCACATAAAACTAAGGTAAATTATAGCCCTGCTAACAAGGAATGAATAGATATTTAGTTTTTTGTTTTTTATTTTAAGTGCAGTACACAATTGATCATAAATGTTCAGCTGTTCTACAGCTGCTAGTAAGTGTGAAAGAAATATTTGGATTAACAAATTTTTGTCAGGGTAATTACTTATCCATACTATCACTGGTTTCGTTGGTGAAGAGTACACATTGGTAGCAAACCTGTGGAATTTGTCATCCTGATTGTAAAAAATAAGAATGTTGGTAATTACATTAGAATTTGTATTATAATAGCTAATTAGCTTCTTTTTAACTTGCTTTCTTTTGAAGTATTTTAACCGAGACGAGTCATAATATATGAATATATAGGTATATTAATAATACAGAACCAGTAATTGCCTTCCCACATACAGTAATTATCCCTAATAACCAGGCATTTGCCCAAAATGCTCTGCAAAATAAGGGGTTTTCTGTCTGCACACCTAAATGTTGCCAATCCTTGTACAAATGTTGTATCATGCTGAAATAAAAGAATCAAACTAAATTAATACTGTACCAGTTACCATACTAGTAAAACTTTACTACTTAAAGGCAAAAAATCGTTTTCTAAAGAACCTACTATATTAATAATTAAATGCAGTGGAAATGTAATATGCTAGCTATGACACTCAAGTATCATAACTTTTTCCCTTTGAGTGTAAACAGTGAGGGAAAAGAGGAGTTAGGTACCCTTTTATCACAAGTAACTAACTACCAAAATATGAGTGGAAATAAAATGAATCTAGACACTTACCCTTTTAACACTATTATTGGTCTTATACTTTGTGCCCTTGGTACCACTGATCCAGAACTAGATTCCTCTTGCCTTGTCCCATTTTCCACCAACTTTGATATACTTCCTAGGTCTCTTATGACCCTTTCTTTGGAGAACTAGATGGCTGTCTCAAATATCACAGACCCTTGCTACCTTCAGGTTAGTTTAAACATTACTCATGACACACTATCAGTACTCGACTATAGAAAAAACATGTACAACTCTTTTCAGATGTGCATTTTTCTCTTAGACATGGCCTGAAAAGATATTACTTGCAATTTTCCCAAATTTCATATCAAAATACTTGGCAATCTTACCCTGGAAGATACTCGATAAGTATACTAATAAACAGTATGGAACATACAGTTCCCTGTCTCTCCTAATTAAAATACCTGAAAAAGGAAATCATCTTAACAGTATTAAATCTCAACATCCTGTCATACCTCTTAATCAGCCTTTTGTCCAGTAAACTTTAATTTTAAGCTTGAAATTAGTTATATTATTCATATGCTTATATACCGTCTTTCTGTGAAAATAATTTGTACTTTAAAGTGATAAGTTGGGTTATAAGTACACTCACAGGGACAGTAATATACAGGTTAAGAAATATAGTACGTATATTATTAATATTGGATTTTTTCTTTTAGAATATGGGTATCAAAGACGAGTTTCACCAAAAGGCCATCTTGGTGTGCATAGATCAGCTACAAAATGAGTTTCGTGATGGGGAGAGTAAAGCCTCATCTGGAATTGGAGGTGCAGACTGCAGTACTCCAGCATCTCATCATAACCTTCGTAACCACTCCTTCTATGACCTCCACCGATGTGACAAATGTGGGCTCTATCTCAGAGGTTTTATTCATCAAGGACAGTTTTGTCAGGGTAAGAACAGTCATTTGAAATATGTCTGTGCACTTGCAGAAATACAGCTAAAGAATGAATGATGAATGTTTCTACCTTTGGATCACCCTCCCCTTGTAAGAAATTGCCATTTTGTGTGCTTCTGTGCATGTTTTTATTTTGTGTTTTTATATAATTTGTATACTATATGAGTGTGAATCAGAAATCTGTGAAATATATTTACTTTGGCAGGATTGCTGATCTTCCTTCTCTCTCATTAACCCTTAAACTGTCCAAGCAGATCTATGTTCGCATGCGTAGTGCTCCAAAAGTAGATCTACGTTTTTTTTTACATATTTTCAAATACAGTGGTCCCTCTCTTTTCGTAGTTCTCAACAGTCGTAAATTTCGCCAATCGTAGGGGTATTTTCGTATAAACATGGACTCGCTTTTCATAGGTTGACTCGTGAATAGTAGTTCGTCCGGGACGCGTACGCACGGTGAGAGCCGGGGCGGCCTCCCTACCCAGCCAGTCTGGCATTGTTTACCAGTGAGTGAAGGTCCCCTCAAGTGCTCCTACGAAATATTTCATAATATTCCACTCATTTTAGTGCTTGCAAGTACTAAATAAGCTACCATGGCTCCAAAGAAAGCTCCTAGTGCCAAGCCTGTGGTAAAGGTGAGAAATATGTACAGTGACAGAGATGCCAGAAACAGAGCTCTCTCCACAGTTACTTTGTGAGACAGGACTAGAGTGACTCTCAAGGTGGTCCTAGTGGCATTAAGAAACAAAGAAGAGAAGCAACCCCAGAGAAGCAATTGGTACCTGAGGTGTTGCTGGAAGGGGATTCCCCTTCCAAACTGTAAACAATCCAATCTCTCTCCTCCTCCAGTCTCCCATACACTAAGAAGAATCTCCAATAAAGGTAAGTGTTATGCTGTAAATGTTTCATTCATCATTTCCCATTGTATTGTTTATGTTCTACATGTATATTTCACGTAATTTTTTTTTTTAATACTTCTGGGTGTCAGGAACGGATTAATTGTATTTACATTATTTCTTGATTTATTGATTCGCAAATCGTAAATTTCGTTTACAGTAGCTCCTCCAGGAACGGATTAATTACGAAAAACGAGGGACCACTGTATAACAAAAAAAAAAAAAATGTAGATCCAAGTTTTTTTAGACGTTTTCAAATGTAAAAAAGAAAAGAAGATCTACTTTTTTTACATACTTTCAAATGTTGAAAAAACGTAGATCTACGTTTGGACAGTTTAAGGGTTAACTTGTCAGATGACATGAAAATCGTGCTTATACTTCATACACCCAGTATACATTGCGTGTGTGGAAAGGAAAGATGAGGATATAAATGTTAAAATTCAAGAATGTTTTTGGTTTAAATAGGGAATGTATGAGTGGGTTATGTAATTGTTTAATGTTTATACACCTGTGGTAGAGAGGAGTGTGGGAGATTGATTTTGGGAGGTGTTAGATGAATGTTTAGGAAGTATTGTACCAAGCTAGAGAATAATTGTTGTTGGAGAACCTAGATGCTGAAGTAGGAAAGTTTTGAGTACCAGGGGTAAATAATTTCAGGAGCCTTTAATTGAATTGTGTGAAGAAAAAGGTTTGGTAACAAGACACTACTTTAAGGAGGAGGATAAATAAGTATACAAGATATGATAAAATCTGCAATGACAACATTTAGCTAACCTGTGTATCAGTAGTTAAAATGTTATTGGGTAGACCCCTGGACATCCATGGTTTTTAGATGGGCAACATATATCGGTCATTATTTAGTGATAGCTACGGGGAGAGCAAGAGGTTGGTGGAGTACAAGAAGAATGGCATTGGGTAAAGAAATGAAGTTGAACAAACTGAAGAGACACGGGATGATATAAGCAACTATTGGGTGAAACTTAGGCTAGAGAGAGAGAGTACAGGTAGTGAAGTCAGAGTTATGGGGTAAACTTAAGACTGCAGTGCAAGAGTGCACACCAGATGTTTATGGGTGTAGAAGTGTGGGTGCATTTAGGAAGAGGAATGATTGGTGGAAGTATGAGGTAAAAGAAAAGTTAGTGTATGGGAAGTGCTTACCATGAAACCTTAAGGCAGAATATATGGAGAGACCACCTTTTGTTTTGGATGACTTCTAGTTTAGTCATTTCCTTTACTCAACTCCATATTTTCATAGGTACTGTGTATTATTTTTCCAGACTGTGGACTGATTGCTCACCGCACATGTGCTGCTACAGGCTTACCTCCGTGTGTAAAACAATCATCCAAATACTTTCGTCGCATATTACTCTCCTCTGTTTTTGGCCTAAGCTTATGCACTCAGTTTACTCCTGGTGAGAGCCCAGCCCCCCTCCTGCTCGTGCGATGCTGTCAAGAAATTGTGTTCCGTGCCAAGAGTGATCCTAACTTGGATCCATATCGCCTCTATCGTACGCCACCCCAACAAGAAACACTGGCTCAGTTGAGACAGGACTGTGATGAAGGCTAGTATATTTTTTTATGTGCCAATACACCCAGGAAAATTACGTTAAACATTTAAGTTCTATTGCTGAGTATTTGTGTAAAGTGCATTTTGAATTTTTAGTAGTGCTCATTACTCTGATGTATGTATAATTTACATGTATATTAATAACTCCTATAATTTAAATATGTAAAGGCTTACTTGCAAGTCTTGCCATTTGTGTAAAGAAATTTTTATTATTGCAGACATGTGCAATGTTGACCTTAGTACATATGAACCCCACGTTATTGCGTACCTGATTAAACGATATCTTCGAGAGCTCCCTGAGCCAGTGATTCCAGAGACATTTTACGATCGCTTCATTGAAGCTACTCGTATCCATAATGATGACCAGTGTGCTAAGTGTATGGCACAGATGGTAAAGGAACTCAATTCTCATCATTTCTATACATTGCAGTAAGTTTACAAGTTTCTTACTCAAACCACTGTGCATTTTTTAAAATGTTTATTAATGATGTACAAGAATTGGTCTTTAATAATTTACTTTTTGGTGATCTAAATCAGTTAAAAATATTTTTTTACATGTTTGTCATTTCCATTTGATGAAATACTATAGTTTTAAAAGAAATTTTATTTTATATAATTAGCAACTAGTGTACATCAATGGTGAAATCCCCCATTATTATGTGTACTTTAAAAAAGTCAAGCATAAAGTAAACAATAGTAATAGGCAGAGTGATGCAAAGAAGAAAGCCCATTCACCACCATTCAGTTGCCATCTTACCAAAAGTGTGCTGACATCACAATCAAATTACCCTCCAACTGCAGTGTCCCCATCCCTCCTTCAGAGTGTAGGCATTGCCCTTCCCACCTCCAGGACTTAAATGCAACTAACCAGTTTGCCTTCATCACTTTATTAAAGTTGTCTTGCTCATATTCCAACAGCATATCCATTAAAAGCTATTTTTTTCCATTCACTCCTATCTAACATGTTTTCACAAGTCTGCTGAATGCTCAAGCCCCTAAAACTCAGCTACTTTTTACCTCTTCCCTCCAACCATTCTCGAGACAACCCCCTACCCCTCCTAATTTTCATCTCTTTCAACTTATCCCTCTCCATCCTCTCTACATGCCCAAACCACCTCAACAGCTCCTCTTCAGCTCTCTGAATTAAACCCTTAATGACCCCACATTGCCTTTTAATTTCTATGCTCTGAATTCACTGCACAGTATTGACACGTCACATGTGAGAGCAATGTGCAATCTCCACTGCCTCTAGCCACCTCCTCATTGCAGAATTCAAAACCCATGCCTTGCACTCATAAAAGTGTTGGCATCACTGTACTTAGGTGCATTTTTTTGCCTTCATACATAAACTTTTCTTTCCACAGATCGCTCAACACACCACCCACCTCTTTTTCCTCTATCTTTTCTATGGCTTACCTTGTCTTTCATAGACCCATCGGCTGGCATGTCTACTCCTAAATATCTAAATACATCCATTTTTTCCATACTCCTTCCCTCCAATCTGATATTTAGTCTAGATTTTGTTACCCTTAAGCACTGCTCTTTTCCATGTTATATTTTTATGTGAATTTTATCTTTTTTGGGTTGCCCTACCTTGGCAGATGTCCATAGGGTAGAAAAAAAAATATGTATGTGAAATATAATTTTTTTTCTAGGTTTTTGATGAGCCACTTCTTGCAACTATGTCAACTCCAGGTTGGAAGGGGCATCTTGGATCCACCAACTCTTCTCATTCAATCACTCTGTCATGTCCTTTTAAGACCACCATGGGAAAAAATTGTGTATGTATTATTTTGCTTGCAGTCTAATATTTTGGGAAAGTAATGCATCATGACTTACTGTTGTAGATTTACATGATGCTGCCTGCCTTAATCTAATACTATAGTTAAAAGTTTGTATTTACCCTCCTCTTTTTTTTATAGGGAACTAGCACGCAATACAGAAGCACACATGCGAATTGTAGAAATAATGCTGAAAAAAGTTGACTGGGGAGAAAAAGTTCCCACATTTGCACCAGCGCCAGCTTTACCACCAAGGCCTCGTCCATCAGTAACTACATATCCTGTCTTTGTGGAGGATAGTAGTCCACGATCTCCTGCTACTGGACAACCTCCTCCTCCAGTTAACACAACCACTCTCTCATTTTACTCCAATATCCCTACCAATGCACCAAAGGCACTACAAGAAGCTGAGTGGTATTGGGGTACTATTAGTAGGGAGGATGTAAATGTGTTGATGAAGGATACCAAGGATGGTACCTTCTTGGTTAGAGATGCCTCAACTGGAAATGAAGAGTACACACTTACACTCCGTAAGGGAGGCTCAAATAAGCTAATTAAGATATGTCATCACAGTGGAAAGTATGGCTTTACAGAGCCATATACTTTTAATTCAGTAGTGGATTTGGTGAATTACTGCTGTCAACAAAGTCTTATACAGTTCAATAAAGCACTTGACATAAGATTGCTACATCCAGTAAGTCGTTTCCATGGTGAAGAGTCAGAAAGCGCCAGAATGCGAGTTGAGGACATACTGGGTCGCTTGAATGATCTAAATAAGCAGTACCTTTCAAAAACTGCTCAGTATAACAGTGCATACGAAAAGCAACAGGCACTAGCTCAAGATATCCAGCTGAGTCGGCAAGCACTTGATGGTTTCACGGAGACAATCCTGTGGATTGAAGATCACCTCAAACTCCACGAAAAATTCAAAGTTGAAGCCCAGCCTCATGAAGTGCATGAGTAAGTGGTGTTTTGGAACTTGTAATGGGTTCATTTGTCTTAGTGAATAATTTGTTGCTATAGATTCATATCCTGTGGAAATTTGCTTGATTTGTATTATAATGCATGCTTTGTTGTTAAGCCATTCTTTATTTTTATCCTAGCTTGTTAACAAACCAACAAGTACTGTTGGGGCGTCTTGACAAAGTTAGAGAGGCTCACAGCCAACAAGAAAACCATTTCTCAGCACTGAAGCGAGAGAGTTTAAGTGTGGAACGCCAAGCTACATCGTTCAAATTGGATGTCATGAAATTAGCAAAGCAAATGGACCATCTCAAGAACTTGTTGCTTTCACGTGGACTTTCTGCTGACATGATGGATCAGTGGCTTGACCAGTCTGATCCATCGCAGACTCCACAACCAGTATGTATTCTATATAGTTTGTTAAAATTTACGTATGTTCTTGTAAAAGATTTGTGGGGCACCTGGCCCCAGGTGCCCCACAAATCAGAGTTAAGACTTAATTTAGGCATATATGATCACTAGGAAGTTGAGACTGCTATTGCTGGCTACTGTGCTTCTAGCCTCTGTAGACTAATATGTCATGTGAGAAGTCTCTTAAGAGACCTCAAGTTAAAAAGCATACTTATTATTACACCTATATTGATGCTTCATCTTTTAACAGAATTTTCCTATCTAAATATTCCTTTTTACCATGTTAATATTGAAAGGCTATCATAGGGTCATGTGCCAGCAGTTTCTGGCATCTTTAGTTCACATCCCACTCTTGCTGCTTTAATCCTTTGAGAGTCCGTCCTGTAGTTCTACAGCTTTGAAGCCTGGGTCCAAACCGTAGTACTATGTCATGAGCTCAGCTCACTCAGATAAGCTGTGAGTGGTAAATTTGGGCCTAGATATGAGAATGCATCTATGTGGTAAGTATACACCATATAAAACAAATCCTGCAGCACACAGTGCATAATGAGAAAAACAAACTGCGACAGTGTTTTTGGATTAAAACAACGACTTTGCGGTGTATTTTTTGTATGAGTTTTACAGTTGTATTTGCAGTTTCTAGGTGTCATTTGATAGAATGGAAGCTATATTGCAGAAATGCATGATTTTGATTGGTTTTAGTACTGAAAATAGGTTGAAATTGAACTCAAACTAGCATAAATGTTCGATTTTTGCTGATGCTCAAGGGCAAACAAATCACATCACGTGTCCAATACATGTCAGCTGGTGGGTCTAACGTGTGTTCACAAATGTGCTGATATTATTTATACAATTATTACAGTATTTATAGGTAGTAGGTTGGTAGACAGCAACCACCCAGGGAGGTACTACCGTCCTGCCAAGTGAGTGTAAAACGAAAGCCTGTAATTGTTTTACATGATGGTAGGATTGCTGGTGTCTTTTGTCTGTCTCATAAATATGCAAGATTACAGGTACGTCTTGCTACTTCTACTTACAATTAGGTCACACTACACATACATGTACACGTTTATTTATACACACTCATCTGAGTTTTCTCTGATTTTATCTTAATAGTTCTTGGTCTTATTACTTTTCCTCTTATATCCATGGGGAAGTGGAATAAGAATCTTTCCTCCGTAAGCCATGCGTGTTGTAAAAGTCAACTAAAATGCCGGGAACAATGGGCTAGTAACCCCTTTTCCTGTAAAGATTACTAAAAAGAATAAGAAGAAGAAAATTGTCAAAGTGGGAAGTCTGAATGTGCGTGGATGTTGTGCAATTGATAAGAAAGAGATGATTGTGGATGTTATGAATGAGAAGAAACTGGATGTCCTGACTTTAAGTGAAACAAAGCTGAAGGGGGTGGGAGAGTTTCAATGGAGAGGAATAAATGGGATTAGGTCAGGGGTTTCAAATAGAGTTAGAGCTAAAGAAGGAGTAGCAATAATGTTGAAGGATAAGCTATGGCAGGAAAAGAGGGACTACAAATGTATAAATTCAAGGATTATGTGGAGTAAAGTAAAGATTGGATGTGAAAAGTGGGTTATAGTAAGCGTGTATGCACCTGGAGAAGAGAGAAGTGTAGAGGAGAGAGAGAGATTCTGGGAAATGTTGAGTGAATGCGTGGGGAGTTTTGAATCAAGTGTGAGAGTAATGGTGGTTGGGGATTTCAATGCTAAAGTGGGTAAAAATGTTATGGAGGGAGTAGTAGGTAATTTTGGGGTGCCAGGGGTAAATGTAAATAGGGAGCCTTTAATTGAGCTATGTGTAGAAAGAAATATGGTAATAAGTAATACATATTTTATGAAAAAGAGGATAAATAAATATACAAGGTATGATGTAGCACGTAATGAAAGTAGTTTGTTAGATTATGTATTGGTGGATAAAAGGTTGATGGGTAGGCTCCAGGATGTACATGTTTATAGAGGGGCAACTGATATATCGGATCATTATTTAGTTGTAGCTACAGTTAGAGTAAGAGGTAGATGGGAAAAGAGGAAGGTGGAAACAACAAGTAAGAGGGAGGTGAAAGTGTATAAACTAAGGGAGGAGGAAGTTCGGGCGAGATATAAGCGACTATTGGCAGAAAGGTGGGCTAGTGCAAAGATGAGTAGTGGGGGGTTGAAGAGGGTTGGAATAGTTTTAAAAATGCAGTATTAGAATGTGGGGCAGAAGTTTGTGGTTATAGGAGGGTGGGGGCAGGAGGAAAGAGGAGTGATTGGTGGAATGATGAAGTAAAGGGTGTGATAAAAGAGAAAAAGGTAGCTTACGAGAGGTTTTTACAAAGCAGAAGTGTTATAAGAAGAGCAGAGTATATGGAGAGTAAAAGAAAGGTGAAGAGAGTGGTGAGAGAGTGCAAAAGGAGAGCAGATGAAAGAGTGGGAGAGGCACTGTCAAGAAATTTTAATGAAAATAAGAAAAAATTTTGGAGTGAGTTAAACAAGTTAAGAAAGCCTAGGGAAAGTATGGATTTGTCAGTTAAAAACAGAGTAGGGGAGTTAGTAGATGGGGAGAGGAGGTATTAGGTAGATGGCGAGAATATTTTGAGGAACTTTTAAATGTTAAGGAAGAAAGGGAGGCGGTAATTTCATGCATTGGCCAGGGAGGTATACCATCTTTTAGGAGTGAAGAAGAGCGGAATGTAAGTGTGGTGGAGGTACGTGAGGCATTACGTAGAATGAAAGGGGTAAAGCAGCTGGAACTGATGGGATCATGACAGAAATGTTAAAAGCAGGGGGGGATATAGTGTTGGAGTGGTTGGTACTTTTGTTTAATAAATGTATGAAAGAGGGGAAGGTACCTAGGGATTGGCGGAGAGCATGTATAGTCCCTTTATATAAAGGGAAAGGGGACAAAAGAGATTGTAAAAATTATAGAGGAATAAGTTTACTGAGTATACCAGGAAAAGTATACGGTAGGGTTATAATTGAAAGAATTAGAGGTAAGACAGAATGTAGAATTGCGGACGAGCAAGGAGGCTTCAGAGTGGGTAGGGGATGTGTAGATCAAGTGTTTACATTGAAGCATATATGTGAACAGTATTTAGATAAAGGTAGGGAGGTTTTTGTTGCATTTATGGATTTAGAAAAGGCATATGATAGAGTGGATAGAGGAGCAATGTGGCAGATGTTGCAAGTATATGGAATAGGTGGTAAGTTACTAAATGCTGTAAAGAGCTTTTATGAGGAGAGTGAGGCTCAGGTTAGGGTGTGTAGAAGAGAGGGAGAATACTTCCCAGTAAAAGTAGGTCTTAGACAGGGATGTGTGATGTCACCGTGGTTGTTTAATATATTTATAGATGGGGTTGTAAAAGAAGTAAATGCTAGGGTGTTCGGGAGAGGGGTGGGATTAAATTATGGGGAATCAAATTCAAAATGGGAATTGACACAGTTACTTTTTGCTGATGATACTGTGCTTATGGGAGATTCTAAAGAAAAATTACAAAGGTTAGTGGATGAGTTTGAGAATGTGTGTAAAGGTAGAAAGTTGAAAGTGAACATAGAAAAGAGTAAGGTGATGAGGGTATCAAATGATTTAGATAAAGAAAAATTGGATATCAAATTGGGGAGGAGGAGTATGGAAGAAGTGAATGTTTTCAGATACTTGGGAGTTGACGTGTCGGCGGATGGATTTATGAAGGATGAGGTTAATCATAGAATTGATGAGGGAAAAAAGGTGGGTGGTGCGTTGAGGTATATGTGGAGTCAAAAAACGTTATCTATGGAGGCAAAGAAGGGAATGTATGAAAGTATAGTAGTACCAACACTCTTATATGGATGTGAAGCTTGGGTGGTAAATGCAGCAGCGAGGAGACGGTTGGAGGCAGTGGAGATGTCCTGTCTAAGGGCAATGTGTGGTGTAAATATTATGCAGAAAATTCGGAGTGTGGAAATTAGGAGAAGGTGTGGAGTTAATAAAAGCATTAGTCAGAGGGCAGAAGAGGGGTTGTTGAGGTGGTTTGGTCATTTAGAGAGAATGGATCAAAGTAGAATGACATGGAAAGCATATAAATCTATAGGGGAAGGAAAGAGGGGTAGGGGTCGTCCTCGAAAGGGTTGGAAAGAGGGGGTAAAGGAGGTTTTGTGGGTGAGGGGCTTGGACTTCCAGCAAGCGTGCATGAGCGTGTTAGATAGGAGTGAATGGAGACGAATGATACTTGGGACCTGACGATCTGTTGGAGTGTGAGCAGGGTAATATTTAGTGAATGGATTCAGGGAAACCGGTTATTTTCATATAGTCGGACTTGAGTCCTGGAAATGGGAAGTACAATGCCTGCACTTTAAAGGAGGGGTTTGGGATATTGGCAGTTTGGAGGGATATGTTGTGTATCTCTATACGTATATGCTTCTAAACTGTTGTATTCTGAGCACCTCTGCAAAAGCAGTGATAATGTGTGAGTGTGGTGAAAGTGTTGAATGATGATGAAAGTATTTTCTTTTTGGGGATTTTCTTTCTTTTTTTTTTGGGTCACCCTGCCTCGGTGGGAGACGGCCAACTTGTTGAAAAAAAAAAAAAAAAAAAATTACAGTATTGCATAATAGTAAATCTTCTAATTTTTGGTGTGAAAAAGAATTCTTTGTAAATAAAAAATGAAAAGGGACTTCATCTGTAAAGCCTGGAAACGTAACTAATAAACACAGAAAATGTTATTTTAGTGCCAGGAATGCCTGCATTGTTTATTCTGAACCCTATTTTGAAACTGGAATATTTGTACAGTGGACCCCCCCCCCCCCCGAGTTTCGTGATTAATCCGTTCCAGAGAGTCTGCCGACTGGCGAAATTCACGATTGGCGAATATTTTCCCCATAAGAAATAATGGAAACCCAATTAATCAGTTTCAGACAGCCAAAAGTATTAACAAAAAAAAGTTTTTTTAAAGATTAAATAAAGATTTACATACAGAAAACAATGACAAATAAATATAAAGCACTAATAAAATGGATAAA